ATTCTTTCACCAATGTTTGTAGAAGCAGTGTCCTCCGTCAGCTCGGGCACACTGATGTGGATGGCTGGGCAAAGCACAGCCATCCAAAGCAGTGTGAGTACAGTGAAGCACACAGACACTGCCACCTAGTAAAACACGCCCAGCACATAGTTAACCCTTTGATCGCCCTTCATGTTAACCCCTTCCTACCCAGTGCCATTACAGTAGTACAGTGTCAGTGCTTTTTTTTTAGCACTGATCACTGTATTGGTGTCACTGGGGATGTCAGTGACACCACAGTCAGTTCCCCCCCAGTGTCAGAATGCCCGCCGCAGTCCCGCTATAAGTCGCTGATCGCCGCCATTACTAGTAAAAATGAAAAGAAAAAAAATCCCAGTATATATTCCGCCATTTGTAAACGCTATAACTTAAATGGAAACCAATTAATTTACACGTATTGGGATATTTTTTTTTGTCAGAATACATTTTGGCCTAAATTTATGACGAAATTTGATTTTTTACATTTTTACTGGACATGTTTAATAGCAAAAAGTCAAAAATATTGTTTAGTTTCTTTTTCAAAATTGTCTTTTTTTGCTTATAGCGCAAAAAAAATAAAAACCGCAAAGGCGATCAAATACCGCCAAAAGAAAGCTCCACTCGTGTGGGGAAAAAAAGAATGTAAATTTAATTTGGGTGCAGCGTTGCACGACCGCGCAATTGTCAGTTAAAGTAACGCAGCGCCGTAACGCAAAACAATGGCTTGGTCAGGAAGGGTGGGGGGGAATCCTCTGGAGGGTGAGGGGTTAATAAATTATATGTTTGTGGGTTTTCAGCAAAAAAAAAAAAAAAATACTGTAAACAAAAAGTGGCAGAAAAAGAAGCCTGGTCCTCAAATGGTTTTAACCGTTTTGCCGCTACGTACGGACCTGACCGGGGGGGGGGGGGGGGGGGGCTGCAGCCACCGGGAATGTGTATAGAACTGGCAGGCAGACTGTTGCCTATGATTTGGAAGCAGCTGAGCGGCTGCGTTGCCGCCCGATCGCTTCCACAGCCCCCCAGTACCGCCCCTCCCCCGCATGTGTGCTCCCGCCACATATCCAAGACCCGCCTGCCCATCTGCGGGCCCGGGGAGCACCATAGACGTATGTCCGCATTCCTACGCTTCTTTCTGTGACCCGGGAAGGCGACGTGTGTGACGTTCAGGGGCGGACTGACCATTTGGAAACCCGGGCACTGCCCGAGGGCCCGGGGTCAGTAGGGGGCCCCATGAGATGCCCCTGGTACCTTTTTCATAGACTTTTTTGAGTTTGGGCAAGGACACAGGGGGCCCCATGATCCCCTATTGCCCGGGGGCCCCATGAGTTGTCAGTCCGCCCCTGGTGACGTCATTTCCACATCACGGATGTCATTTTCTCAGCTAGCACAGCCGAGAAGCAATGTATGGCGATACACTGAGAGGAGCCCAAAGGAGACATTGGGGGTCTTTTAGACCCTGTATGTCTCAATAAAGAGAACCTGTCACCTACAAATCATCAGATAGGGGACTTTGTGTCCGTTATGTGATAAAGAAAAAAAAAGTCAAGTACAAAAAAAAAAATTTTTATTGCAAAAAAAATAAAAGTTACACCCAAGCACATAACATCCCCCCCCCCCACCCCCACATGTACAAACATAAGCGCATATGTCAGGGCACCGATTGTGATACACGTTACATATAGCTGCGCACGACAGAGAGCAATAATTCTAGCGCCAGACCTCCTCCATCACACTATAGTATAGTCCTATACTGATGACCGGTAGGGAGCTTTTGAAGCATCGCCTATAGAAAATAAAGGGTAACGCAGGTTTGCCGCCATTTCCCAGGTGCACACAAATTTAAAATGTTACTAAACCCAGGACAAGAGTTGCCACCTCATCCCTTTAAAACTAAACACCGCTCCAGACACTTTCCCCCCCTTCCGGTCCGGACACTTTCCCCTACCTTCCGGTCCGGACACTTTCCCCCCCTTCCGGTCCGGACACTTTCACCCCCTTCCATTCCGGACACTTTCCCCCCCTTCCGGTCCGGACACTTTCACCCCCTTCCAGTCCGGACACTTTCCCCCCCTTCCAGGTCCAGACACTTTCACCCCCTTCCATTCCGGACACTTTCCCCCCTTCCGGTCCGGACACTTTCCCCCCCTTCCGGTCCGGACACTTTCCCCCCCTTCCCGGTCCAGACATTTCACCCCCTTCCTGTCCGGACACTTTCCCCCCTTCCGGTCCGGACACTTTCCCCCCCTTCCGGTCCAGACACTTTGCCCCCCTTCCATCCGGACACTTTCACCCCCTTCCATTCCGGACACTTTCACCCCCTTCCATTCCGGACACTTTCCCCCCTTCCCGTCCGGACACTTTCCCCCCCTTCCGGTCCGGACACTTTCCCCCCCTTCCGGTCCGGACACTTTTCCCCCCTTCCCGGTCCGACACTTTCCCCCCCTTCCGGTCCGGACACTTTTCCCCCCTTCCGGTCCGGACACTTTCACCCCCTTCCATCCGGACACTTTCCCCCCCTTCCGGTCCGGACACTTTCACCCCCTTCCATTCCGGACACTTTCACCCCCTTCCGGTCCGGACACTTTCCCCCCCCCTTCCGGTCCGGACACTTTCCCCCCCTTCCGGTCCGGACACTTTCCCCCCTTCCCGGTCCGGACACTTTTCCCCCCTTCCATTCCGGACACTTTCCCCCCTTCCATCCGGACACTTTCCCCCCCCTCCCGGTCCGGACACTTTCCCCCCCTCCCGGTCCGGACACTTTCACCCCCCCGGGTCCGGACACTTCCGGTCCGGACACTTTCCCCCCCCTTCCGGTCCGGACACTTTCCCCCCCTTCCCCGGACACTTTCCCCCCCTTCCGGTCCGGACACTTTCCCCCCCTTCCGGTCCGGACACTTTCCCCCCCTTCCGGTCCGGACACTTTCCCCCCCTTCCGGTCCGGACACTTTCCCCCCCTTCCGGTCCGGACACTTTCCCCCCCCATTCCGGTCCGGACACTTTCCCCCCCTTCCGGTCCGGACACTTTCCCCCCCTTCCGGTCCGGACACTTTCCCCCCCCTTCCGGTCCGGACACATTTCACCCCCTTCCTGTCCGGACACTTTCATCCCCTTCCATTCCGGACACTTTCCCCCCCCTTCCGGTCCGGACACTTTCCCCCCCTTCCGGTCCGGACACTTTCCCCCCCTTCCGGTCCGGACACTTTCACCCCCTTCCGGTCCGGACACTTTCCCCCCTTCCAGTACGGACACTTTCCCCCCCTTCCATTCCGGACACTTTCCCCCCTTCCGGTCCGGACACTTTCACCCCCTTCCGGTCCGGACACTTTCCCCCCTTCCGGTCCGGACACTTTCCCCCCCTTCCGGTCCGGACACTTTCCCCCCTTCCGGTCCGGACACTTTCCCCCCCTTCCGGTCCGGACACTTTCCCCCCCCTTCCGGTCCGGACACTTTCCCCCCCTTCCGGTCCGGACACTTTCACCCCCCTTCCGGTCCGGACACTTTCCCCCCCTTCCGGTCCGGACACTTTCCCCCCCTTCCGGTCCGGACACTTTCACCCCCTTCCTGTCCGGACACTTTCACCCCCTTCCGGTCCGGACACTTTCCCCCTTCCGGTCCGGACACTTTCACCCCCTTCCCCCCCCTTCCGGTCCGGACACTTCCCCCCCCTTCCGGTCCGGCACTTCCCCCCCCCTTCCGGTCCGGACACTTCCACCCCCCCTTCCAGACACTGTCCCCCCTTCCTGTCCAGGCCAATTTTCAGCTCTGTCACACTTTGAATGACAATTGCGCGGTCATGCAACACTGTACCCATATGAGTTTTTTTAGCATTTTTTTGAGACAGATAAAACTTTATTTTGGTGGTATTTATTCACCGCTGGGAGTTTTATTTTTTTTGCTAAATAAATAAAGTCCAAAAATTTTGAAAAAAAGTGCTTTTCTTATAAAAATTTTGCAAACAAATAATCTCTCTTCATAAATCTTGGCCAAATGTATTCCGTTATCTTTTTAGTAAAAAAAAATAACCCAAAATTAGTTTATACCCAAAAATTATAATTTAAAAAAAAATTTTTTTACATTATTATATTTTTTTTTAAACATACTGTCACCCTAGCAGTACAGTGTCACCATAGTGACACTGTACTACTTGTGGGGGGGGGTGAAGATTTTTTTTTATATACGGACACGTTCACCCCCTAGGCAGGAAGGGGGTAGAAGTGGCCTGTAGGCAGGAAGGGGGTAGAAGTGCCCTGTAGGCAGGAAGGGGATGAACGGCTCGGTGGGCAGGAAGGGGATGAACGTGAAAGTGAACGTGCCCGGTAGGCAGGAAGGGGATGAACGTGCTCGGTGGGCAGGAAGGGGTGAACGTGCCCGGTAGGCAGGAAGGGGGTGAACGTGTCCGGGGAGGAAGGGGGTGAACGTGCCCTGTAGGCAGGAAGGGGATGAACGTGCCGGTAGGCAGGAAGGGGGTGAACGTGCCCGGTAGGCAGGAAGGGGGTGAAGTGCCCGGTAGGCAGGGGGGGTGAACGTGCCCGGTAGGCAGGAAGGGGGTGAACGTGCCCGGTAGGCAGGAAGGGGGTGAACGTGCCCGGTAGGCAGAAGGGGATGAACGTGCCCGGTAGGCAGGAAGGGGATGAACGTGCCCTGTAGGCAGGAAGGGGATGAACGTGCTCGGTAGGCAGGAAGGGAGTGAACGTGCCCGGTAGGCAGGAAGGGAGATGAACGTGCTCGGTAGGCAGGAAGGGGGTGAACGTGCCCTGTAGGCAGGAAGGGAAGTGAACGTGCCCGGTAGGCAGGGAGTGGGTGAACGTGCCCGGTAGGTGAGGGGTTAACCTTTTCGGTAAGTGTTGTTACTGCTGGAACCGAATTGATACATTTTGTAACTTTTGAGAAACCTGCAGTACCGCCTCCCCGCCGGCAGAGGGTACGCCGCAGCTAAAAGGCCACGTCACGTGAGAAGGACGTCCACGTGACTGACCGGAGTCATGGCGTGGCCGCGGCTTCTCTCCCTCCTGAGCCGTCCTTGGGTCCGCCGCCTGAGCGGCAGTTGCTATCCGCTGAGGGAGCACCGGGGGCTGCTGCGGCTCCGAGGCCCGAACACCCCGGCTTTCCTGCAGGGTCTCGTCACCAACGACACAGAGCGGCTGGAGGAGGGCGCCGTGTACGCTCACCTGCTCAACGTGCAGGGGCGGAGCTTGTATGATGTCATCCTGTACAGGTAACGTAAAGCGTGAGTACGCAGGGGCGGCCATCTTTACTCCGGGAAAAGGATGGCAGTTTGTGTCCAATGTTGTCAGTGTTGGTGATGACGTGTACACATTACTGACTCCGATCGCCGGTCATTGTCGGAGGTTTACGGCACTAGTGATGACGTCATCATCCTTCCTATGAGATCATGGGAAAGCTCAGCCCAAGCTAAAGTGCAGGGGTCAGGAGTATGTAATTATTAGTGTATGGGGTCGGGAGTTCAGAGGTGTTCAGAGTGTAGGGTCAGGAGTATGTACTGTACAGAGCGTAGGGGGTCGGGTGTATGTACTGTACAGAGCGTAGGGGGTCGGGTGTATGTACTGTACAGAGCGTAGGGGGTCGGGTGTATGTACTGTACAGAGCGTAGGGGGTCGGGAGTATGTACTGTACAGAGCGTAGGGGGTCGGGAGTATGTACATACTGTACAGAGCGTAGGGGGTCGGGAGTATGTACATACTGTACAGAGCGTAGGGGGTCGGGAGTATGTACATACTGTACAGAGCGTAGGGGGTCAGGAGTATGTACTGTACAGAGCGTAGGGGGTCGGGAGTATGTACATACTGTACAGAGGGTAGGGGGTCGGGAGTATGTACTGTGCAGAGGGTAGGGGGTCGGGTGTATGTACTGTACAGAGGGTAGGGGGTCGGGTGTATGTACTGTACAGAGGGTAGGGGGTCGGGTGTATGTACTGTACAGAGCGTAGGGGGTCGGGAGTATGTACTGTACAGAGCGTAGGGGGTCGGGAGTATGTACTGTACAGAGCGTAGGGGGTCGGGAGTATGTACTGTACAGAGCGTAGGGGGTCAGGAGTATGTACTGTACAGAGCGTAGGGGGTCAGGAGTATGTACTGTACAGAGCGTAGGGGGTCAGGAGTATGTACTGTACAGAGCGTAGGGGGTCGGGAGTATGTACTGTACAGAGCGTAGGGGTCAGGAGTATGTACTGTACAGAGCGTAGGGGTCAGGTTTATGTGCATACAGAGTGCAGGGGGTCAGGTTTATGTAATGTACAGAGTGTAGGGATCAGCAGTGTGTAATGTACAGAGTGTTGGGGTCAGGAATGTGTAACGTACAGAGTGTAGAGATCAGGTGTATGTACAGAGTGTGGGCCAGGATTGTGTATGTGTAGTGTAGGGGGTCAGGAGTGTGTAATGTACAGAGTATAGGGGTAAGGTTTATGTGATGTACACTGTACACTACACACTCCTGACCCCTACACTCTGTACATTACACACCCCTGCCTCTACACTACACTATACATACACCTGATCTCTACACTCTGTAAGTTACACACTCCTGCCTCTACACTCTACATTACACACTCCTGATCCCTACACTCTCTACATACTCCTGATCCCTACACTCTCTACATACTGCTGATCCCTACACTCTCTACATACTCCTGATCCCTACACTCTGTACATCACATACCCTTATACTCTGTACATACACACTTCTGACCCCTACACTACAATATACATACATAATCCTGGCCCCACACTCTGTACATACACTTGATCTATACACTCTGTACGTTACACATTCCTGACCCCAACACTGCACATACATACTGCTGATCCCTACACTCTGTACATTACACACTCCTGACCCCTGCACTCTGTATGCACATACTCCTGACCCCTGCACTATGTACATTACACACTCTTCACCCCTGCACTTTGTACATTATACACTCCTGACCCTTACAGAGTGTAGGGGTCAGGAGTAATATGTACAGAGTATGGGGGTCAGGAGTGTGTTTGTACGGAGTGTATGGGTTAGAAGTATGTAGAGTGTAGAGGTCAGGTGTATGTATGTACAGAATTAAGGAATGTGTAATGTACAAATTGTAGGGGTCAGGAGTATGTATGTACAGGGTGTAGGGGTCAGGTGTTTATGTACAGAGTGTAGGGGTCAGGAGTATTTATGTACAGAATTTAGGAATGGGTAAGGTATAGATTGTAGGGGTCAGGAGTATGTATATACAGAATTTAGGAATGTGTATTGTACAGATTGTAGGGGTCAGGAGTATGTATGTACAAAATTTAGGGTTCAGGAGTATGTATGTACAGAATTTAGGGGTTAGGAGTATGTACAGAGTGTAGGGGTCAGGAGTGTGTAATGTACAGATTGTAGGGGTCAGGAGTGTGTAATGTACAGATTGTAGGGGTCAGGAGTATGTATGTACATAGTTTAGGGGTTAGGAGTATGTACAGAGTGTAGGGCTCAGGAGTATGTGTGTACAGAATTTAGGGGTGAGGCGTATGTATGTGCAGAATGTAGGGGTCAGGTGTGCGTGCTGTAAAGAGCATAGGGATCAGGAGTGTGTAATGTACAGAGTGTAGGGGTTAGGAGTATGTATGTACAGACTTTAGGGGTCAGGAGTATGTATGTACAGACTTTAGGGGTCAGGAGTATGTATGTACAGACTTTAGGGGTCAGGAGTATGTATGTACAGACTTTAGGGGTCAGGAGTATGTATGTACAGAATTTAGGGGTCAGGAGTCTGTATGTACAGAATTTAGGGGTCAGGAGTATGTGCATACAGCATGCAGGGGTCAGGAGTATGTATGTACAGACTTTATGGATCAGGAGTATGTATGTACAGAGTGTAGGGGTCAGGAGTCTGTGTGTACAGAGTGTAGGGGTCAGGAGTCTGTGTGTACAGAGTGTAGGGGTCAGGAGTCTGTGTGTACAGAGTGTAGGGGTCAGGAGTCTGTGTGTAGAGGTCAGGTGTGTGTGCTGTAAAGAGCATCGGGAGTGTTTAATGTGCAAAGCACAGGGGTCAGCAGTATGTAATAGGGCACCAGGTAAGAGATGCGTCTCATAGAGGCAGCCGGCAGCCATGACACACATGAGGGAGATCCCTCGTCTGGAAGACATAGACACGGTTGTTGGAGTTCAGAGATAAGAAAGAAGCAGCAAAGGGCTGACGTGGCTCTTCTCCTCCACAGATCTCCGGCTGTGCCGTGTCAGGAGAAGCAGAGCCAGCCCAGGATTTATCTGAGATGAGCGGCGGTGCTCTGGGTTGGCGAGATAAAGTATCTGCACCCCTCCCACCGCCACATCCATGGAGTTGGAGTAAAGATGGACACCTCCAGCTCCATCCTGTGTACGCGAGGACGTCACACCGTGTTCTGTGTTTGATAGGAATACTAATTATACAAAAAAGAGCAAAAAATTAATTACACCCAAATGCTTCCAATAACACCAAACTTTTTTCATTTTGGATAGAGCCAGGGATGGATATGACCCCGGTCAGGTGTATTTTTCTTTGTTTTTTTTTTCATCTGTGTCCCATAGGGGAGATTTACCTTCACTTCCTGTCCCATCTCCAAACAGGAAGTAAGAGGAAATCTCTGACAAGGGAATTTCTAGTGGAACCTGCAGCCCCACCCCCTTTAGGTCACCAGAACCAATGTCCCCATTGGAAGATTTCCCCTCTCTTACTTTTTCAAAATTTTGGATTTTCTTTTACTTTCAATGATAATAGAGAGGATGAATCTCCGTACGTCTCGGTTTACACCTGTGCACTTGGCGTTTGATCCTTTTTTGTGTGTGCGCTTTTTTTTTCCCAACTTGTTGCTGGGCAAATTAAAACGCATCAAAAATGCACTACGTGGTTTTCTGCATTTCCATTGAAGTCTATAGAACCAAAAACGCAATGTTTTTTTCTTTAAAAAAAAAAAAAAAGTCTCCGACCCTTTCCAAAAAAACGCAGCTAGTGAAAACGCGGAGATGGGAACGTGTCCCATAGGAAATCATGTGGAATGGACTGTACTGCGTTTCTGCAAAACGCTGCGGGGACTTATGGGGACACAGACAGCAATAAAAACCTGACAGGGGGTCTTTCTCCATTCTATCCAAAACTAAAAAAAAAAAAAAAATTACTTTAGTTATACTTTAACCCCCTCCCAAAAAAATGTGGACCCCCCCCTCCCCACATACATACGCATGCAAGTGCAACCGGCACACATACACTATATTGCCAAAAGTATTGTCCCCGCCCTCCAAATTATGTGATTCAGGTGCTCCAATCCCCTCCCAATCATGTGATTCAGGTGTTCCAATCCCCTCCCAATCATGTGATTCAGGTGTTCCAATCCCCTCCTAATCACGTGATTCAGGTGTTCCAATCCCCCCAAATCCCAATCACGTGATTCAGGTGTTCCAATCCCCTCCCAATCATGTGATTCAGGTGTTTCCAATCCCCTCCCAATCATGTGATTCAGGTGTTCCAATCCCCTCCAAATCATGTGATTCAGGTGTTCCAATCCCCTCCAAATCATGTGATTCAGGTGTTCCAATCCCCTCCCAAATCATGTGATTCAGGTGTTCCAATCCCCTCCAAATCATGTGATTCAGGTGTTCCAATCCCTTCCCAGTCATGTGATTCAGGTGTTCCAATCCCCTCCCAATCATGTGATTCAGGTGTTCCAATCCCCTCCCCTCCAAATCATGTGATTCAGGTGTTCCCAATCCCCTCCAAATCATGTGATTCAGGTGTTCCAATCCCCTCCAAATCATGTGATTGATTCAGGCGTTCCAATCCCCTCCAAATCATGTGATTCAGGTGTTCCAATCCCTTCCCAGTCATGTGATTCAGTGATTCAGGTGTTTCCAATCCCTTCCCAGTCATGTGATTCAGGTGGTGTTCCAATCCCCTCCCAGTCATGTGATTCAGGTGTTCCAATCCCCCCAGTCCCAGTCACGTGATTCAGGTGTTCCAATCCCCTCCCAGTCACGTGATTCAGGTGTTCCAATCCCCTCCCAAGTCACGTGATTCAGGTGTTCCAATCCCCTCCCAATCACGTGATTCAGGTGTTCCAATCCCCTCCCAATCACGTGATTCAGGTGTTCCAATCCCCTCCCAATCCGTGATTCAGGTGTTCCAATCCCCTCCAATCCCCTCCCAATCACGTGATTCAGGTGTTCCAATCCCCTCCCAATCACGTGATTCAGGTGTTCCAATCCCCTCCCAATCATGTGATTGAGGTGTTCCAATCCCCTCCATGGACACAGGTGTATACAATCAAGCCCCTAGGCATGCAGACTGCTTCTAAAAACATTGGTGAAAGAATGGGTCGCTCTCAGGAGCTCAGTGACTCCAAGCGTGGTCCTGTGATAGGTGGTCACCTGGGCAACAAGTCCATCCATGACATTTCCTGGCTACTAAATATTCCACGCTCAACTGTTAGTGGGATTATAACAAAGTGGAAGCAACTGGGAACAACAGCAACTCAGCCACCAAGTGGTAGGCCACGTCACATGACAGGGCGGGGTCAGCGCATGCTGAAGCGCACAGTGCGCAGAAGTCACCAACTGTCTGCAGAGTCAATAGCTAAAGACCTCCAAACTTGGTGTGGCCTTCAGATGAGCCCAACAACAAATAAATAATCTTCATGCCTAAAATTGTTTTTTAAAAGTGTGTGTAAAACATGCTCTGGCAGCAGAAGGGTTAAACATCACTATTCACAGGTAGGCTATAACTTTCTGACCCCCCCCCCCCACACCTAATATGGAGTAGGCCCCACCCCCTTTTGCCATCAGAACAGCCCTGACCTGTCCAGGGCATGGACTCCGCTAGACCTCTGAAGATATCTGTGGTATCTGCCACCAAGCTGTCAGTAGCAAATCCTTTTAAGTCCTGTAAGTTGGGAGGTGGAATTTCCATGGATCGGACTTGTTTTTCCAGCACCTATCGCAGATGCTCGATTGGAACTGAGATCTGGAGAACTAGGAGGCCAAGGCAACACCTCAAACTCGTTGTGTTCCTCAAACCATTCTTGGACCATTTTTTTTGCAGTATGGCGGGGCACATTATCGTGCTGTAAGAGGCCACTGCCAAGGGAATACCATTTCCATGAAGGGGTGTATTTGGCCACCAACAAGTGTAGGTAGGTGGAACTGTCAGGTAGCATCCACATGGTGCCAAGGTTTCTAGCAGAACATCGCCTTCCTGCTTCCAAGCTTGCCCTCTACCATACTGCCCCCATCTCTTCCCAGGTAAGTGACGCCCCCCCCCGGCCATCCACATGATGGAAAAGAAAACGTGACCAGACCAGGCACCTTCTTCCATTGCTCCCGTTTCCAGTTCTGATGCTCACATGTTCATTGTCGTGGCTTGCGGCTGTGGACACGGGTCAGCATAGGCGCCCTGACTGGTCTTCAGCTATGCAGCCCCATGCACAACAAAACTGAGATACCCATTGTTTCTGCTTTCAACACATCAACTTCAGGGACAACATGTTCCCTTCAGGGTGGACTGACCATTTGGAAACTCAGGCACTGCCCAAGGGCCCGGGGTCAGTAGGGGGCCCCATGAGATGCCCCTGGTACCTTTTTTCATAGGCTTTTTTGAGTTTGGGTAAGGACACAGGGGCCCCATGATCCCCTATTGCCCGGGGGCCCCATGAGTTGTCAGTCCGCCCCTGGTTCCCTTGCTGCCTAATATATCCCACCCACTTTCAGATGCCATTGTCACCAGATGATGTTATTCGCTTTGCCCGTTTGTGGTCATGTTGGCCGATCGATGTATATTATAACCTCCGATTGCTTCGTCTTCCAGGCTCTCCTCAGAAGCGGATGGACAGTCTGATACCCTACTAGAGTGTGACATCCAGGCGTTGGGGCCCATCCAGAAACATCTGCAGGTCTACAACTTCCGGAAGAAGGTGGAGGTGGCGCCCTGTCCGGAGCTGTCGCTGTGGGCCGTCCTTCCAGGTCAGAAACCGCAGGATGGTCTCGGGGAGAGGGCGCCGAGCCCAGTGGTGGTGTGCAGCCCTGACCCTCGAGTGCCGGCGATGGGATGGAGGATTGTGGCCCCGACAGACGGGAATATCACCGACCTGCTGCCTGGAGCTCAGCCGGGAAACTACGAGGAGTACTGCAAGCACCGATATGAACACGGTAGGTGTGGAGATGGAGAGATGCAGAAGATCAGCGTGAGCCCAGGTTCACATACATGCGGTGCGGTACATCACATGCGATTTGTGCAGAAACCGCACTGCTTTCCTGCGCCAATCATATGCGATTTGTGTGCGGTGCGATCGGAGACGTACATTTTGTATGGTTCAAATCTCACCGCACCTGCACCAAAAACGTGCAGGACCCTTTTTTGGTCCGCATTAGAATCGGATCACATGGGTATTCACACCTATGTGATCCGATTCTGCACATCGCACTGCTTGTTAAGATACACACCCGCTGCGATTCGCAAGAACGAAACGCGATTCTGATGCGGTGCGGAAAACGCTGCAAATTCCGCACCGCATCAGTGTGAACCCAGCCGCAACGCTCACAGACTCTGCTGATTGGAAGGCTCTAGCTCTGACTCAGCAGGGGGAGCGGACTTCTGTAAAGAGACATTTTATTTCATTTCATTTTATGTTTGATTTATTTAGTTATTTACATTTATTTTTATTAATTTTTCTTCTTATGTTTTCTTATCCTTTTTTTCTCTTTTATTTTTTCTCTTTTTATTTTTTTAAAAAAGAGAAAAAAAGAAAAGAGAGAAAAAAGAAAAGCAAAAAAAGAAAAGAGAAAAAAGTATATCTTTTACCAATGCAAAAATGGGCCGTGTGTCGTTTAGTGTCCGGTCATACCGGTGCGATTTCAGGTGCAATTTGCGAATTGAATTTGCACCTAAAATCGCATTTAGCACCCGGGCATACCAGCATCTAATGAATGTGAGCCCGGATTCACACCGATGCGGTGGGGACACATCGCATGTGATTCGCACAGGAACCGCACCGCATTCCTGCACAAATCACATGCGATTTCTGTGCAGTGCATACATTTTGTATGGCTCAAATCACATCGCATCCGCACCAAAAAAATGCAGGACCCTTTTTTAGTCCGCATCAGAATCGGATCGAAACTGTTGACACCCATGTGATTGTTTGGGTCAAGGTCAGGGTCAAAGGTCAACGTCAAAGGTCAGGATTTAAAAAAAAATTGGTATCCGTGTCAGTTAGTGTCAGTGTGTTTTAGGTTAAAAAAAAAAAGATAAAAACAAAATGCGCACTATTGTTTCTGGGCTGCACCCCGGGTACAAACAACCAATAACGTGCACATATATGGTATCGCTGCGATCGTCAAGAGCTGGAGAATTTATTTTGGGTTGTCCTTTGGCGGTAGGTTATGGTAGTAACACAAAACACACAGCTAAATTAAGATATATATATATATATATTTATTTATTTTTTTCTTTTTTTCTTTTTTTTTTTTTTTTTTTACACTGATTGCTTTTACACCCATAAAGGCTGTAAAAGCAATCATTTCTCCTTCTCTCTGGCTGCATTCTTGCAGCCATTGAGAAATATTGTGTGAGCTGTGATTGGTCACAGCTTGTCACATGGTACAAGGTTGTTGTGAATAGCCCTGTACCATGTGACCTCTGTGATCATTCACAGATTTCGCATGTAGTAAGCAATGATGTCAGAAGTGACATCTTGCTTACTACTGTTCATGTGATCACTGATTGGCCTATCAGTGATCACATGAATCGGGACCTCACACAGAGGTCCCGTACGACGATCGGTGTTCCTTTGTGTCCGGAGGACACAGCGGGCACCGGATCGCGGTGCCGTGCGCCCCCAGGGAGTGCATACAATCTAAAATCCTGTACTGCCACCGTCTGGCCATTTATATACAGCGGCCGGACGGGAAGTGGTTAAACATTAAAATGGTGTCTGCAGCCTGGTGTGACCTCCAGAATGGCCAATCCCACGTCAAACCGATGTCCTATATTGGGTGGATGCGAGTCGGATGAATCACATTTCATTTTTTTGTTTTTTTAATCTTTGGAGACTCTTGCAGGAAATTCTTTCTGGTAAAGTTCTTGTTTATGCCCCAACCCCCCTCCCCCCCCCCCCCCCCCCTCTACTCATTGCACGTGTCGTTCTCCCCCACCAGATTTTCATTGTATTTGTTTATTGGACGTCACACGGCCTCCAGCTGGAGAAGTCTTGTAAAGGATGCGGCTGGGAGAGTTTATCTTGGGGATTCCCGAGATATTTAGGAAGCTTCTGGATGAATCAATCTCCGGTCTTCCTCTCCGTCTTGCACAGTTGTAGAGGCTCCTCTCCTGGAAACGGCTTCCTCTGATTTCCCCGCACACTGTGAGCTTCTCACCATGTGCATTAGAAGCTGCAGCAAGTCAGAGAGAGCTCTGCCTCATTTCTTGGCTGGAGGACACCCAGCATCTTCTAGCTCTTTGCTCCCCAGTCTAACTTGCCCTGGCCCCGCCCCTTTTATTCATCGGATTTCAAAACTGTCAATCTTGTAGGCTCAGCATCACAGGTGAGCGTTACCAAGGGTGATCTACTTGCCAAGGAGCCCCCACTCTTCCAGACTGACCCCCCCCCCCCCAATCAAGGCATTTTGATATTTGCATAACCGCTCCCAAGAGCCAGACTTGAGGGCTGGGATGTTCTCAGGAAGCTATGTACAGCACCCTGCCTGCCCCTCCCACCAGCCATTAGGGAAGCATAGAGACCCAGTGATGTCATCACTGAGCCTAAAATAAGGGATTTCATGAAAAGAGGTTGTAGAGGGGTGTTTTTTTTTTTTTCTTTTCATGCATTCTGTGTGCAGCTCCCCCCACAATACTCGCCTGTGCCTGATCTCGGTCCAGCGATGTACAGGAGAGCAGTGGATCCCCTGGGTCTCTGCATCCTTATTGGCTAAGGCACAGCAGCAGCTGTCAATCACAGCCAGTGTGGAGGGAACCGTTACAATTAAGCACGAGATCATTGTGTGAAACGGGTTAACAGGTCCTGTATACAAGTCCTGGTGTTTTATGTGTCCTATGGATCAAAAAAGGTGTCTCATTACCAAGGTCACACACAAAAAACATCTCATGATGTGTAGCAATCTCAAGACCTTCTCAACCTTATTGTTGCAAAACATACTGATGGCATTGGTTACAGAGGGAATTCTCAATGTCTGAATGTTTCTGTGAGCACTGTTGGGGCCATAATCTAGAAGACCACTAAAAGAATTCCACAGCATGTTCCTCAGTATGTAGTAGCATTGGGCAACAAGATAGGCTCAAAAAATACACAATTCTAGCTGTTTGAAGTCCTACCATCTTCAGAAACAAGAGAAAAAATTGATACTAGGTTGTATGTTAAAATCTTGATACTGGGTTGTATGTTTAATTTCTGTTACTGGATTTTATTTTAAAATCTAAACAGCTCCATTACAAAAAAAAGAAAAAAAATGCTGCTTGGATCAACCTCCTTGTCCTCCTCCTGAGCTTCTTGGGAGAAAATCCAAACTTGTGTAAATGTGAATAATACAAACATTACTAACCTTGTGCTTCTTTTCCTAGGTGTTCCAGAGGGGATGAAGGACCTTCCTCCAGGTGTGGCTCTACCGCTGGAATCTAACCTGGTTTATATGAACGGAATCAGTTTTTCCAAAGGATGTTACTTGGGCCAGGAGCTAACAGCCAGGACTCACCACACCGGAGTTATCCGCAAGCGCCTGGTGCCTGTGCACCTCTCATCCCCGTTACCAGCTGAATGTCAGGAATCAGAGATAGTCACGGCCTCTGGGAAAGCGGCTGGTAAATACAGAGCTGGAATTGGTGACTTAGGTCTTGCCCTGTTGAGGCTGGAACACCTTGGAGTAGACCTTCAGATAAAACTAGGAGGCCAGGAGCCAGTCAATGTGAAGGCCTCCACCCCAGAGTGGTGGCCAAAGCCTGAGAATACTTCATGACGAGACTACATCAATGAACAATAAGAGACCGCACTGTGACCGAAAGAGTGTTAAAGAGCATTGTATTTTTTTAATAAGCTACAAGACCGTGTTGTGACTTATTTCTCATTATCTATTATGGTTATTGTGCCTTTATAGGATCATATGTGGGAATTGCACTATTTAATTTTATTAGTCTATGTCGTACAAGCTTAATAAATAAAACAGCACAAACTGCATTCAGAATGGGCCAACCAATGCATCAACACCTCTCGTGCATCACTGAGTCAACTGATTAATACACCAGCCGTTCTCAACTAGGGTTCCTCCTGAGGTTACCAGAGCAAGGAGTAACCAATCCCATACACCAGCCTTCCTCAACTAGGGTTCCTCCTGAGGTTACCAAAGCAAGGAGCAACCAATCTCATACACCAGCCTTCCTCAACTAGGGTTCCTCCTGAGGTTACCAAAGCAAGGAGCAACCAATCTCATACACCAGCCTTCCTCAACTAGGGTTCCTCCTGAGGTTACTAGAGCAAAGAGCAACCAGTCCTATACACCAGCCTTCCTCAACTAGGGTTCCTCCTGAGGTTACCAAAGCAAGGAGCAACAACCAATCCCATACACCAGCCGTTCTCAACTAGGGTTCCTCCTGAGGTTACTAGAGCAAAGAGCAATCAATCCTACACACCAGCCTTTCTCAACTAGGTGTCAAGGATCCGGATATGACCAGAGATGTGTGGACTGACACAGGGAATAGCAGACTGCAGGAATGATGTAATAAGATAATTTATTAAGAGCTTACACCAATATACAGAAATGCACATGCAAACCAAAAACCAAACCTCCAACTAATAATTAGATGCTCGGGAACACAGGCGTAGACAGAGCTGAAGAAGTAGAATGGTCAGGCAGGCCGGGTCAGGATCAATCGGGCCGATAAGGTACAAAAGGAGCAGGCAGGAGAATGGTCAGGAATAGCCGGGGTCAGTGCAGGCGGAGTTCTGTCAGAGTCAAGCAGGGGAATCAGGCAGGTAGACAACAGGATGCAGATACAGGGGCTCATGGGAAAACACCAAGGCACTGATTGCAGGCCTGGTACTGCGTAAATACACCTCCTGCAATCAGCCTCAGGTGATGGCTTGATTGCAGGTTGAGATCCTGGCTTCTGAAAGCACCCGCTGGCAAGCACCGGTACTGCAGCCCACACGGCAGGTGAGCCCCAGTACCACCAGCGGTGAGTCCTTTCCTGACACTAGGGGTCCTCCTGAGGTTACCAGAGCAAGGAGGAACCAATCCCATACACCAGCCTTCCTCATCTAGGGTTCCTCCTGATGTTACTAGAGCAATCAATCCCATACACCAGCCTTTCTCAACCAGGATTCCTCCTGAGGTTACCAGAGCAAGGAGCAACCAATCCCATACACCAGCCTTCCTCAACTAGGGTTTCTCCTGAGGTTACCAAAGCAAGGAGCAACCGATCTCATACACCAGCCTTTCTCAACTAGGGTTCCTCCTGAGGTTACTAGGGCAAAGAGCAACCAATCCCATACACCAGCCTTCCTCAACTAAGGTTCCTTCTGAAGTTACTAGAGCAAAGAGCAAATAATCCCATACACCATCCTTTCTCAACCAGGATTCCTCCTGAGGTGACCAGAGCAAGGAGCAACCAACCCCATACACCAGCCTTTCTCAACTAGGGTTTCTCCTGAGGTTAATAGAGCAAAGAGCAACCAGTCCTATACACCAGCCTTCCTCAATGAGGGTTCCTCCTGAGGTTACTAGAGCAATCAATCCCATACACCAGCCTTTCTCAACCAGGATTCCTCGTGAGGTTACCAGAGCAAGGAGTAACCAATCCCATACACCAGCCTTCCTCAACTAGGGTTCCTCCTGAGTTTACCAAAGCAAGGAGCAACCGATCTCATACACCAGCCTTTCTCAACCAGGGTTCCTCCTGAGGTTGCTAGGGCAAAGGGCAACCAATCCCATACACCAGCCTTCCTCAACTAGGGTTCCTCCTGAGGTTAGTAGAGTAAAGAGAAATCAATCCTATACACCAGCCTTTCTCAACCAGGATTCCTCCTGAGGTTACCAGAGCAAGGAGCAACCAATCCCATACACCAGCCTTTCTCAACCAGGGTTCTTCCTGAGGTTACTAGAGCAAGTAGCCATAGTGAAATGATTTCCCTACACTGACCAGCAATAGGTGGATATTTCCCACTGACTACCATTGTAGTCATTTCTACACTGATCACTAAAGTTCGGAGAAACCACCATTTTTTTTTTTACTGTCAGCATTTCTTTTCACTATACCAATATGAATCGGCATTTCTCTCCTCTCGAGCTGTCACGCTCGAGGAGAGGAGAGCCGGTAATCGGCTTTCCGCAGAGGGGACATGAGTGTGCCCTGATGCTCAGTGTAGCCCCAGCAGTGCCACCTGTCAGTGTCCATCAGTGCCTTGTGTCAGTGCCCATCAGTGCCACATCAATTCCACATATCAGTGCCTACCAGTCCACATCAGTGCCCATCTGAGCTGCCTTTCAGTGCCACCTATGAATGCCAATCAGTGCTAGTCAGTGCCGCCTATCAGTGCCACGTATCAGTGCTGCCTTTCAGTGCCCATCAGTGATGCCTGTCAATGCCCATCAGTGCCACCTACCAGTGCCTCCTCATCAGTGCCACCTATCAGTGCTCACCACTGCAGCCTCATTAGCACACGTCAGTGAAGGAGAAAAATCACTTATTTACAAAATTTTATAAGAAAAAACTTTTTTTTCCAAAATTTTTGGTGGTTTTTGGTTTGTTTAAGAAAAAATAAAAAACCCAGAGGTGAATAAATACCATGAAAATAGAGCTCTATATGTCACAAAAAAATGATAAAAATTTCATATGGGGTACAGTGTTGCATGACCGCGCAATTGTCATTCAAAGTGTGACAGCGCTGAAAGCTGGAAATTGGCCTGGGCAGGAAGGGGGTAGAAGTGCCCTGTAGGCAGGAAGGGGGTAGAAGTGCCCTGTAGGCAGGAAGGGGGTAGAAGTGCCCGGTAGGCAGGAAGGGGGTAGAAGTGCCCTGTAGGCAGGAAGGGGGTAGAAGTGCCCTGTAGGCAGGAAGGGGGTAGAAGTGTCCTGTAGGCAGGAAGGGGGTAGAAGTGTCCTGTAGGCAGGAAGGGGGTAGAAGTGCCCTGTAGGCAGGAAGGGGGTAGAAGTGTCCTGTAGGCAGGAAGGGGGTAGAAGTGGCCGGTAGGCAGGAAGGGGGTAGAAGTGTCCTGTAGGCAGGAAGGGGGTATAAGTGTCTGGTAGGCAGGAAGGGGGTAGAAGTGCCCGATAGGCAGGAAGGGGGTAGAAGTGCCTGGTAGGCAGGAAGGGGGGGGTAGAAGTGCCCGGTAGGCGAGGGGTTAAAGCGGAGTCGTTTTTGTGTTTATTAAAAGTCAGCAACTACAAAAACTGTATCTGCTGACTTTTAATAAACACACACTTACCTGTCCCGGGGTCCAGCGATGTTCTCACCTGTGCCGTCCCTTTTTCCCTTCTTTCCTCCACGGCACCGGCATCTCTACTGTGGGCAGCAGGCTGTGACAGCTGCGGGTTCACAGCCTGGTGCCCCCTGCGCATACACAAGTCACGCTGCGCCTCCTAATTTGTCCAGCAGTCTTCTGGGACCTGTGAAAGTTCCCAGGAGACTTGCGGGAGGGAGGAGGGGGCCAAACTACCGGCTCACTTCGCCGCGGCAAACTGAGATGGAAATGGGAGCGGGTACCTGTCAAAAACAGGTATCCGCTCCCCCCCAAAAGGTGACAAATATGACAGTGGAGGGGGGAGCAGGCAAATAAGCGGAGCTTCCAATTTTGAGTGGAACTCTGCTTTAAGGACACAGCGGCCGCCTGCTCCTTAACAACCATGTCGTTTACTGGTTGCTAAGGATGCCTGCGGCCGCCCTGTCTTTCACAAACAGCTTAATGTCACACAAAATACAACACGCAAAAGGCAACAAAATGCAAAAACATATCAAAAACGCAATACTTGCATTTTTGGTGCGGTTCCATTGAAGTCCATTAAATGCAAAACGCAATCTGCTGCGGGAAAAAAGTCCCTGACTCTTTGCAAAATCCGCAGCGGCTCAAAATGCACAGATGTGAACTATGATCCATAGGAAACCACGATAAATGAACTGTAAAAATGGAAAACGCACTGAAATCCACGTAACTGTGAACCTAGGGGGTAAGGTGGCCTCACCAACAGCTCATTGTTTCTTTTGCCCCTCCATGGCTTGCTTGGATTGCTGGAAGAACTGAGAATGTTCTGGGCTTCATGTGACAGTTTTGGATGCCGGATTGGCCAATCACCAAGCACCAGCACGGCAATGGAAGAGGGAGGCAACCGGAACAAAACCAAAGCATAAGGAAAAGAAATGTAATCTCCAAACGCGGAAAGGTTTCTTCACAGTAAGAGCTGTGAGAATGTGGAATAGACTCCTTCAAGAGTTGGTTGTGGCCAGCTCAGTGGATTGCTGTAGGAAAGTCCTGGATTCTTTCTTGGATACACAGAATATAACTGGATATAACATTTATAGGTAAAGTTGATCCAGGGAATATCCGATTGCCTCTCGGGGGATCAGGAAGGAAATTTTTTTCCCCTGCAGGAGCAATTTGGATCATGCTTTGCTGGGTTTTTTGCCTTCCTCTGGATCAACTGTAGGTGTAGGATTATAACTTTTCTATGGTTGAACTGGATGGACTTTTGTCTTTTTTCAGCCAGACTAACTATGTAATATCTAAACTAAAAAATGTAACATATTGCAGTTGATCAGTCCTTCGATCTGGTGGCTGTATTCGGTTTCAGATTTGACACTGTCCGGATCAACAGCAATTTTTTCTGTACTTGCAGAAAATATTCTTTGCCTAAAAAAAAAAATATTTCTGCTATAATTTGATTTTAAGTTATAGGTTTTTTTTTTTTTTCATATTTTTCACTAAAATCATACCCAGTAAGCCTGCCATGAAGGTTCTTGTTTAGATAC